TTTTTGCCGCTGCTAAAAGAATAGCAATTTGCTGTATTGTACTCTCTACTGGTATATCTATACTCCATTGATGTAAAAGAAGATGTTCTACAGTATTTTGCAATTTTATACCCGATATTTGCTCTATGGTTAAGATTATCTCTTCCCAAAAGGGTATCAAAATAGGACACTCCAGCCAGGTATGCGTATATGTTCCCAGACTACCACACTGTTTCCAACACAATGATCTTGCCGTTGGCACCATATGGGCCAGAGGAAATGTCTTAAGAATGATTGATGTTTATTTTGTTTTCTGAGGGCCTAATTAGAAGATACCACCTAATATAAAAATACAATTCAGCCACCTAATATACACAACGATCATGGTGGTAAACCCAAACAGTAATAAAACCACACCATGTAAAATCTGGCTATGTATATTGTAAACTGTATAATAGAACATCAGTATAACACACAAGACTATTAAATATCAGTAATACCATTCAACATACAGTAAAAAAATCAGTGTAGTGTACAAAATCTATTAAATGTCACTAGTCATATACATTTAGTTCCAACATTCAACATTTCCCGTAGAAAATATTGCTTCCTTACATTTAGTTCCAACAGTCAGCATTTTCCCAATAATCAGCGTTACTCCACCTCAGCTCTGAACAGGTAAGTCCAAATATATGTTTCACTCCACCTCACTGATTGAAGGAAACTTCCAATTGCGATTCTACGGATAACCAGTTTTCTCTGCATTTCAATTTTATTTTATTTGCACTTCCAATCTTTTCACCCGGGACATCTTTGCAGAAATTTGTCCTATGGGCAATTTCTGAGAATAAAGCACAACTCTACAGACATGAGGAATTTCATTCAGGGTAGCATAATTTTAGAACAACATTTTAAGGACTGAGGATACCCTGAGGCTGTGATAGCAAATACAAAACAAAGAGCATTATATATGAACAGGAAATTATTGCTGAAGCAACAAAACCTCACATTTAGCTTGCAATTCTCTACGATGGCAGAACCCATAAAAATAGTTTTGCAACACTGGCATTTATTATCTAACATACCAGGTCGCAATGCAAAACCATGCCTTCAGGAGAACGAAGAGTTTAAGAGACAGACTGGTGAAGTCAGATATGAGACAGGACAACAGTTTCAAAGAAAAAATTAAAGGGCATTTTAAATGCACCCCCTGTGGGCTGGTGATGGAAATCAAGGAATTTTTCCACACTATAGGCGGTCCCATAAAATTAGAGAACTACACAAACTGTAACATTATACCTACAGATTTCAGAAGCTGGAACCAACTGGACTTAATCAGAATATACATTTTTCTTGCTTTATTTAATTAGCCAATATCCCTTTAAGAGAGCAGCAAGCATAGGGTAATTAACAACACCTGTAGAGATTATTTAATGTGTCTATACTAAGAGTGGATCAAGTAGAGCAAGTAGAGCAGAAAGCAGATAATGTTATATCCCGTTTGAAAAGACTAAGATACGAATAACATTTTGAAGATGTGCATTCCGCAGAACTGCTAATTGGAAGTATTACCCACTTCTAAGTAGCAATACGGCTAGAGACAGTTACAACAGAGTATTCTGGTGAGTAAAATATATTTTGTGAATTATTGGTAGAACTCTCTTTTGTTTAGAATAGTTTGATTTCTGAATACCATGAACGATAATTTTTACAGCATAACTCGCAGGTTACCACCCACGAGAGGAATGATACTTGATAAAGAGTTAATTGCAACAGAGAGAAAACTGGCTATCTATAGAATCACAATTGGAAGTTTCAATTTAGTGAGGTGGAGTGAAACATGTATTTAGGCTTACCTGTTCAGAGTTGAGGTGGAGTAATGCTGATTATTGGGAAAAGGCTGAATGTTGGAACTAAATATAAGAAAGCAATATTTGTATACATGTTGGGAAAACGCTGAATGTTGGGGAAAACACTGAATGTTTATGACTAGTGATATTTAATAGATTTTGTACACTATGTTGATTTTCTACTGTATGTTGAATGGTATTACTGTTATTTAATAGTCTTATGTGTTGTATTGATGTTCTGTAATACTGTTTACAATATACATAGCCAGTTTTTACACCATATTCAGCTACAGCAACAAAGCAGTATTTTACACCTTTTTTAAACAACAACAACAAAAAGGTGGCAGGAAGTGCCCATTTCATTTTGCTGGGGACTGGGGGGGGGGATGAGGGGCTCCTATCCACTCCCCTACCTACAGTTTTGAAAAGTTAAAAAAAGCTATAAAATGGCACTATTTCCCCATAGTGTTTGCCTAATTTGGCCCGTGGTCTAGTGGCTTGTCAAAGAGGAAAACAGATTGTCATGTTGCCAAAATTTTTAGAACACAATAAATTGGAACAGATCTTGCCGTTGGCACCATATGGGCCAGAGGAAATGTCTTAAGAATGATTGATGTTTATTTTGTTTTCTGAGGGCCTAATTAGAAGATACCACCTAATATAAAAATACAATTCAGCCACCTAATATACACAACGATCATGGTGGTAAACCCAAACAGTAATAAAACCACACCATGTAAAATCTGGCTATGTATATTGTAAACTGTATAATAGAACATCAGTATAACACACAAGACTATTAAATATCAGTAATACCATTCAACATACAGTAAAAAAATCAGTGTAGTGTACAAAATCTATTAAATGTCACTAGTCATATACATTTAGTTCCAACATTCAACATTTCCCGTAGAAAATATTGCTTCCTTACATTTAGTTCCAACAGTCAGCATTTTCCCAATAATCAGCGTTACTCCACCTCAGCTCTGAACAGGTAAGTCCAAATATATGTTTCACTCCACCTCACTGATTGAAGGAAACTTCCAATTGCGATTCTACGGATAACCAGTTTTCTCTGCATTTCAATTTTATTTTATTTGCACTTCCAATCTTTTCACCCGGGACATCTTTGCAGAAATTTGTCCTATGGGCAATTTCTGAGAATAAAGCACAACTCTACAGACATGAGGAATTTCATTCAGGGTAGCATAATTTTAGAACAACATTTTAAGGACTGAGGATACCCTGAGGCTGTGATAGCAAATACAAAACAAAGAGCATTATATATGAACAGGAAATTATTGCTGAAGCAACAAAACCTCACATTTAGCTTGCAATTCTCTACGATGGCAGAACCCATAAAAATAGTTTTGCAACACTGGCATTTATTATCTAACATACCAGGTCGCAATGCAAAACCATGCCTTCAGGAGAACGAAGAGTTTAAGAGACAGACTGGTGAAGTCAGATATGAGACAGGACAACAGTTTCAAAGAAAAAATTAAAGGGCATTTTAAATGCACCCCCTGTGGGCTGGTGATGGAAATCAAGGAATTTTTCCACACTATAGGCGGTCCCATAAAATTAGAGAACTACACAAACTGTAACATTATACCTACAGATTTCAGAAGCTGGAACCAACTGGACTTAATCAGAATATACATTTTTCTTGCTTTATTTAATTAGCCAATATCCCTTTAAGAGAGCAGCAAGCATAGGGTAATTAACAACACCTGTAGAGATTATTTAATGTGTCTATACTAAGAGTGGATCAAGTAGAGCAAGTAGAGCAGAAAGCAGATAATGTTATATCCCGTTTGAAAAGACTAAGATACGAATAACATTTTGAAGATGTGCATTCCGCAGAACTGCTAATTGGAAGTATTACCCACTTCTAAGTAGCAATACGGCTAGAGACAGTTACAACAGAGTATTCTGGTGAGTAAAATATATTTTGTGAATTATTGGTAGAACTCTCTTTTGTTTAGAATAGTTTGATTTCTGAATACCATGAATGATAATTTTTACAGCATAACTCGCAGGTTACCACTCACGAGAGGAATGATACTTGATAAAGAGTTAATTTAAACAGAGAAAACTGGCTATCCATAGAATCACAATTGGAAGTTTCAATTTAGTGAGGTGGAGTGAAACATGTATTTAGGCTTACCTGTTCAGAGTTGAGGTGGAGTAATGCTGATTATTGAGAAAAGGCTGAATGTTGGAACTAAATATAAGAAAGCAATATTTGTATACATGTTGGGAAAACAACAGCCACGCTTCTTCCCCGCAGTTTCCTGCCCGTGTGACCGGGGCCATCATTAAGGAACAAATTCCTACCAGCTACTTCAAAATAACAGATTTTCTTTTTTTGATTTAATTTGTAAAAATTCAAATATAAGGCTGTATCATACAACCAATCACAAAAAAAAGGCAAATAACGAGTCACAACAATGCATAGAAAGCAAATGGAAACATTTTCTCTTATCTTATTGTTCCAGAACATTTTATCGGGCATTCAGTAAATGTATTTGAATCGTCAACTTTCTTTTTTTGGCTTCTCTGATAGTATGTTAATTTAGTTAAGAACGCAGTGTTCCAAATATGGTGAAGCTCTTAGAGTGAGGGTCTCTCTCTTTTTTCTGTTTGCTGCTGTTGCTTTCTTAGCAGCTGTAAATAAGCTTAGAACCAGTGCCACATCTGAAGGCGCAGCATGTTCCATTGTAAGCAAATAGAAATAACCTTTGGTTCAGAGAGCATGCTTCCACCCAGCGTTTCATGAAAAAACTGAATCTCCCACTGTCAAAAAGACTTTGTTTTTGGATATAACTAAGAACTGTATAGTAAATCAGCCAGTAATGGACTCAAATAGTCCTACAAATTCCTATAATATAATAGCTAACGTATGAGAAGGTACCATTGAAACCATCTTTAAAAATTGTTTTGGTTCATAGAAATTAATGTAGGAACTGCACAACTCCAAATCTAGTCCATTCCTCCAAACCAATACTAATCTAAATCTTTCTAATTTCCTAGTATAACTTAAAGATACAGTGGCGAGGCTCAACAACAAAGAATAAATTTTAGCGGAGTTTCTCCAGGGTCTCGGACAGAGGTCTTTCACATCGGATCTCTGGGGTCTCAGGTGTCACCTCCTACCTGTTCCTTCTAACTGGAGATGCTGGGGATTGAACCTGGGACCTTCTGCATACCAAGCAGATGGTCTGCCAGTGAACCACATCTTAGGGACAATGTCTTTGGAATTCAAAACTTGTTCATTTTCTACCTGTGTTTCCAGTACTGGTATGTCCAAATTATTGTTTCTCCAAATTGAACAATTAAAATAGTGAAAGCAGACCATCTGTAAAGGAAATATATGTCTGAAATTTCTGGTGTGTGGGCAACATACACCATAGGTTCAATATTAACACTAAGAATCCAAGTCATAATTGTGGGAGACATATCCTGAAGTGGGAATTATGTGGTAATGGGAAAAAAGTATAATTTCTATTATTTGGATGCATCCACTAATCTGATGAAGATGAACAAACTTCACAAAGGGATTTAGGAAAAGACTTAGCTTTTAAGTCTTTAGCCATTCTATCTGATTCTATAACTCCATTGAAATTGTCTCCTGAGGGAATGGGGTGGATCCTATGACTTCACTGAGCAAAGTTTACTTATTTATTAAAACTGTTATATCCTACTTTTTCTTTTGGCTCAAGTTTCAAGTCTTCCTCCAAGTTAAGTGGCTCTCCCATTGGAGGAAGAGCCATTTATGTTGGAGGAAGATTACTGTGAGGATGGCTGGATCCATCCCACTGTGACCATCTGAAAAGGCATCAATACTTTTCATTTAAAATCCTGTAAAACTTTGCTTGCAACTGGCGTGAACTGCAAAGACAGGTAACACTTAAGTTTTCTTGCATATTAAGTATTTTAGCATTAAATGTGTACTCCCATGGTTCTTATCAGTCTCAACAGTTTTCATGTGAGGGTTAGGAATAACCAGCAGGTAACTTGCAAGGAATTGCAGGGGTCACCCCTGTATACCTTCCCTCACCACAATTTCCTCTCTTTCTGTCAGCTCCCATAGCCTCTCACCTGTCCCTGCTTTCTTCTCTCCTTCCCACTTGCCAACCAACTTTTCTTTTATCTGCTTCCCCCACTTTTCAACTTTACTTATTATTTATTTACCTCATTTATACCCTACTCTTCTCCAAAATGGAGACCCAAAGCAGCATACATCATTCTCCATTTTATCTTCACAACAACTTGTGAGGAAGATTATGCTGAGAGGAAATGATTGGCTTAAGGTCACCCAGCAAGCTTTGGCAAAGTGGGAATCTAAACCCAAATACTAGACTGATACTCTGCTATACCACACACTTTCCCTCCACCTGGCAGCCTCTCCCTGGTCAATTCTGTCCAAGTTGCAAAAGTTGTCAGGTAGCAAGTTGCTCAGGTGAGTTGTGTGGAGGCTTCTGGTGAACCCAGCCACGTCACAGAAGCTGTGTGGAGACTGCTGCTAGTCCCAAGCAAGTTGTTTGGCATTGAGTTATCTGGTAGCCACCAGTGCACCTGGGTGAATTGCAGAAATGGCATGGTAACAAGTTGTCAGGTGGTTACTGTTGAGTCTGGCACCAATGGTGCAGGAGGGAGTGCAGCAGGTGTGGATATCTTCTGAAAATAGTTTTTTTCTCAGGTTTATTGAAAGTTGTGTCTAATGGGGCAGGAGGGAGTGCAGGTGTGGATATCTTCTGAAAACGGGTTTTTCTCAGGTTTATTGAAAGTTGTGTCTCATCTGTTCACAGTTCCAATCTCTGGATTTAAGTATCCACTGATGGGTCCATTTTGAGAATGAGATATATTGATGATAATCACACAGAAGGAGTCCAGAAAAGGAGTGAGTTGGTAATCTAGATGCAGCTGATGGAAGGTGCTTTCGGCCACTGTGTCAGCCTGCTTTTCAAACAGTAAAGCTGGGTCCTTGGGTACCCCGGGCTCCTAACCTGCTCTGCAAAATCAGTTATCAGTGATGATGCTTCCCCTTCACATTGAATGGAGCCTTTGTCATTCGTTATATAAAAGTAGCAGATTTCATTCACCGCTCAGAGAAATAAAGGAACTGGTATGATAATACGTAGGAAATCTGTGTCGACCTGTGGAGAACTTGGGGAAGTAACAGTAGCACCCTAAGCAGAGATGGGCTTAGAAGGGAGTAGCTCTGTTCAGGATTGCACATTTAAAGAATGCTAAATTGCTGCTGCTAAATTGCGGAGAACAGCCAGCTCTGTTAAATGGATGTTGGTTTCTGTTGTGGGGAAATTTCCTGGAGCTGTTTGTGATCTCTTGTATGACCTAACCTCTTGATCTGGATTTCTTCCCAGTGGGAGAAGCTGCAGATGACAACCAGTGAGCGAAGGAAGATCATGTGCTCTGTCACTTTCCATGTAATTGCTATCACTTGCGTGGTGTGGTCTCTCTATGTCCTTATAGACCGGACTGCTGAAGAGATTAAACAAGGGCAGTCTACTGGTATGTGATTTTGCTTTTCTCGGCATAAAATTTATTTCCCCCCCTTGTTTACTTTTGTTTAAGCTATCCTACTTTGAGGGACCAATGACAGGAACCCTTAGAATCTTAAGTGCTAACTCAGGGGTAGGCATCCCAAAGGCACGTGGATCCAGGTGGCAAGACTGGCCAAGTCAGGGAAGGGGGGCCATCTTCCAGGCTAAACAGAGTTTGAAGAAAGATTGTTTTGCAACTGTGTTAACTTGCTTCTCCATCAGTAATGCTGGGTTGAGTGTAACCCGTAGGCTCTTAACCGCTTCAGCAAGGGTCGGCTGAACTCTGTTGAAAGTAGGAAGCGCAAATCCCCTGAGGACCTCAGGCTTCCCAACCAGCAGTATGTCCATCTTGTTAGGATTCAGTTTCAGATATGTTCATACTTAGCCGTTTAATCACAGCAGTCAGGGAGTGGCTCATGACCCCTACTACATCTCCAGCAGATTTGGATGAAGAGCTATAGAGCTGGGTGTCATCAGCCCCATGGAGCCATACAAGGCAAATCCCACATTGATGAACAACAGGTCCCCAACAGCACCCCTTTGTGTCTAATGTGTAAGGAATTAATTAAAGCAGTCTGGAGAACAATCCCCCATACATGCTTCTGCTTCCAAACATCTCAACAAGTTAGCATGGTTTGCGGTATCAGAAGCTGCAGATACAGCCAGTAGGAGCAGCAAAGAAGCCTTCGTCTGTATTGAGATGGAGATTATCAAACTAAAGCCACCAGCACCATTCTTTCCTGTAGCCCAACCTGAAACAAGACTGAAAATGGTCCAGAGTAGATGAGATAGCCAAGAAGACCTGGAGTTGGTCTGCTGCTGTTTCTTAATTACCTTGCCTAAAAAGGGCTAGATTAGAGACTACATCACTTTTCTTTAGGAACCTCTTTGAATGGACAAGGGAAGGTGTGCTGAGTCAGTGACTGACTTATGATGGACATCAAGGACTTGCTAATGTAGTCCATCATGGTAACAGGGTCAGAGTGGTCCATAAATAGGCCAGAAGGTGAATTAGGCACCTCTTCTGCCTGAGAGAAGTCCTCTGAGCCATGTTACAACTAACATCCAAATCAGAACATATCTAAGAACATATAAGAGAAGCCATGTTGGGTCAGGCCAGTGGCCCATCCAGTCCAGCGCTCTCTGTCACGCAAGTGGCCAAAACCCAGAAAGATTTAATCTGCAAAATATATAACAAAAAAAATCACAATTGATTGAGTAGTCAGTAGATATCAAGATACCTTAAACAACTGGGATGGTTATAAGTTAGCTGATGTGATGATAGCAGAGCAGTAAAATTTCTTTACAGCTCTTACTGCCGGTTCATAGGTCTTCCAAAGAACTTTATAGCATGGTCTGTCGAGTGCAGTTACTCGAGACTTCCCCCCAGCCCTCTTTGTGTCACTGGTCTCCATGGTACATCATGTAGCTGGGTTCTGCGCCGTGGAAAAGGTCAACAAGCAGTAACCTCTTCAATAGCTTTTATGCGCTTGACATTCCAAGCACCCACTGTGGCTCAACACAGCCTTTGTTGGGAATTCTAAAGACCCCGAGAGCATTTCTGGAATCCATTAGGATCCATGAATCTCCATGGATGGCCCATTTTAACCAGTCCCTTTTCTCTGCAGTGTGTTGAAGCCACATTCATCCTTCTCTGAGCAGGTAGTGGTTAGACCATAATAGAAGCTGGACCTCTAGCTCTGAAATCAGACCTTCACTCAAAGGCTCAGTGCAAAAGATTAGGTCCAGGGTTGTGGTCTTTGTGTCTGCTGTTCTCATCACTCTCCTTTTCACTGTGCTCCTCCTCTGTTCTATTGGATTCTTTCTTATAGCACATAAAATTTGAAATTCTTCTACTGCTTCACTCTTTCTCTTCTTCACTCATGTGGCTCCTGTTCTACCTTCAATTCCACACAGGGATTGATTTCCATTTGGCCTCCTTTTTCCTTTCTTCCTGCTGATACCTGTACTGGAAAGAGGAGCTCTACCTCCAGCTTCAGTAAAAAAATTTCTGAGTCGTCATTAGTCAACTTGTTGAACCCCCCTCTCCCTTTGCACTTGTAAGGTGTCACATATTCTGCAAGTGTTGCAGAACCACAGAATGCTTTTCAGGATCCTGAAATCAGTAGTTTCAATTTTTAATGAACTCCACCATTACCATCCCCCAACAGACACATGAGAATCAATGTAATGCTGAATGTTGGTCTTGGCCATGGAAAACTGGGATTTGGGCTCAGCTGAGAAACTCCCTGGGCTTTTGTCCAGTTACCATCTCTTAGCCTTTGAGGAATAACTCCTGTGTACATTGCCCTGAACTTTTTGAGGAAGAACGTGATATGTAAGAAACCAATAGCCCTGACATCTTTCCTGCTCTCCTTGAAAATTGGTGTGAGGCTGAACTTCCAGTTGAATTATGTGTTAACCCCACTGAGAGGCAAAGCACCCCTGGCCTCCTCTCACAGGGTTAACATGAATGGTAGTGGGCCTGGTCTAGCCTGCAGGTGTTGTCAATTGGTCCCATGGTCTACACCAGGGGTGGCCAGACTTGCTTAACGTAAGATCCCCATAGAGTAAATGTCAGATGTTTGAGAGCCGCAAGGCATGAACAAATATTACAGACACGTTTTTATTTTTAAATATGTGAATTTGCTTTTTAAAAAAATTAAATGAGACTGCCAAAAATAAAAACAAAAGGGGTAAAACCAGGTATTGATAATGATATTTATTTGTCCAACAGTATTTATTTGTTTGCTAATGATATTTGTTTAAGAGAGAGAGAGGTGGAAAGAAAGAATGAAAGAGGGAGAGAGAGAGAGAGAGAGAAGCAAAGAAAGCAAATAGATGGGGGAGGGAGGGGGAAGGGAAGGAAAAAGAAAGAGGAAAAGAGAAAGATAGGT